AAGATTCCATAACCCAGCAAATAGAACCCCTATTAATCACACAATGAGAAACTTATAAATTCTAAATACCAAATATCATCCTGAGAGAAATGTCTTTCAGGTACCAGTTTGCTTATTCCATACGACCTTGAACTAGAAAGTCCTCAACCAGCCAGTGAGGAGAATACACTTAGCTCGCAGGGGTTGTTGATGAACACTTGTATTGACTTTTGCTTTGTACAGTTACAGTTCTTTGTTTAGTTTTTAAAGTACGCGACAATCAACACAGCTTCCTCCCAGTAGTTATGGTTTTGGAATAAACTGCTTATGAGTTTTCCTGTGTCTATACTCCAAAAGAAAATGGAGTCCCATAAGTAAAAACAGTCACTTGCTTACTACTATACATGCCTTCTTGTTTCAAAATTATGTTCCTAAATACTACTGGGAGGAAGCCGTGTTAATTGTTACATATCTTATCAACCACTCTCTCGAATACTACACATCCGAAGTCTAATGGAAGTTCTAGCATATTCTTTCAAAAGATCCCGGTCACCAATAACCTTATCCCTTGTGTTTTGAGTGTGTTGTCTACATTCATATACATCAATCTCAAAGCAGGAAACTCGATCCTAGGATCACTAAGTGTGTTTTTGTGGCATATTCCTCCACTCATTAAGGGTACAATTTTTTTTTGAAATAAAAAATGTAAAGTATTATTCACAAGACACCAAAAAAGGGGGTACCACCTATTTACAAAAAACCTCTACAATGAAATTAGAGTGTCAATGACATTCTCAAAATCCCCATTATTTATGATATCATGACCAAGCACAATTGACCCAAATAAGTGTATCCACCTATCAATTAATCTATTAAAACTACTCTCTATGCTATCAAAAACTCTTCTATTGCGCTCTTTCCAATTCACACAAAAAACAATCAAAGAGATGATGTTAACAATATTTTTTTTTTACATATAAACCATCTCAAGCCCAAATCTCCCCCCTGACCGAACCCGAAATAACCCAATTGATACCTATCCACCCATAAATTGTGCACCATAGGTTAGAAACAATAGGGCACCACAGCAGAATTTGCTTAATATACCAGTTGATCTCAATCACAAACTGAAACACGAAAGGAAGAACCCGAGGAGGAGAAAGAAAGGTATTAAAGGCTAGAGGAAAAGTTGGTATACTTGTCACATGAAACATCAGAGATTTGATATGTAATGAGTGTAATAAGTCAATTCATGCACACAACATAGAGAACTGCATTTGCAAGCTGCCTATGAGATAATTTGAAGAGTATTCTAAGAAAGGGATTTATATCCAAGAAAAATAATGAATTGCTTTTTGAAGTGTATAATGATGCTGGCTGTATGGGACCATTAGTTGGCAGAAGATCTACATCTGAATAATGCACTTCTTGTAGAAATCTAGTGAATTTGAGGAGTAAGAAGCAAAATGTTGTATCTCGATCCAGTTCCAAGCCAGACTCTATCTATGACCCAAGCAGTGTGTAAATTCCTATCATTACAGATGATTTTGGAAGATTTGAAGATTCAGTAAGATAGGTTTACGAAACTCTTTTGCAATAATAAGACAACAATTAGCATCGTCCACAACCCTGAGCAACATGACAAGATGAAAGATATTGAAATTAGTTGATACTTTGAAAAGAAAAAGCTGGATAGCAGATTGATATGTACATCATACATGCACTATTTTGAAATTCGCAAATGTATTGACCAAAGTATTAAGTAATCTTGAATTTCAAACTATTATTGACAAGTTGAGAATAGATAATATCTATTTAACCAGACTGAGGGAGAGTGTTGAGAAGTGTACGTGCATGAGTAGGGTAAAGGATATACCAATGACATACCCCTTTGTTGTAATCTTTGTAATTGATTAGGATTCCTTCTATGATTTTTACGAACTTGTATATATAGGGTCCTAATACTCAATAAAATTCACATTCATTCTTCCACATAACCTACTCAACTTACAGTTGGAACAAAAAGCTTAGCGTTGAAGAAGCAGGAACCTTCCAAAATCTTTAGTGAAGTATGAATAAAATGATTAGAGGTTAAGAAGGCAGAAAAACACTTTCAAGCAAAAATGCTTCGGGGGTCCAAAATCAAACTCTACAATCATGGCCTAAAGAAAAGACAACAGAACCAAGGAGCTGAATTAA